TTCGAGAAAAAGTTTTATCTTTGCTTTTGTTGGACCATTTTAATATAAGTACTTCCGAAGCTGCAAATACTTGCACGGCTGGCTGTTCCTTCTCTCATTGTTTTGTATTCACCTGCTCACCTAGAACGAACTAGGTCCCTAGCTTTAACATACTTCTTTTTAAACAAGAGTTGAACAGACTTCCGCTCGAATTTTTACTGTACACAACCATTGACTCTAGGGACCAGAGTTGGATTAAGCTAACAAACTACTCCCTCTGTTCCAAAATAGATGACCCAACTTTGTACTAAAGTTAGCACAAAGTTGAGTCATATATTTTGGAACGGAGGGAGTATGTACAACCACAAGGTTATTTATTCTATCTGGTAATTACCTGCACGGCCACGCTGTTGTCCATCGATATTCACACATCATCCTAGAGCACAGTGTGCGCTGTACGTACATGTGCAAGACTACAGCTATATAAGCACATCCCTTCCACCCATAGTTGACAGACCAAAGCACCAACAAGCTAATTGTAGTACCAGTAAGCACTAGTCGAGCAGATCATGGCCATCCCAAAGGCATTGCTTCTTGCCATCCTAGGCAGCATCTGCTTATGCAGTAGCACCGTTCTATCAGCTCGCGAGCTTGGTGACGCGGCCATGGTGGAGAAGCATGAGCAGTGGATGGCGAAGTTTAACCATGTTTACAAGGACAGCACCGAGAAGGCGCAGCGGTTCGAGGTGTTCAAGGCTAACGTTGCCTTTATCGAGTCGTTCAACACCGAAAATCACAAGTTCTGGCTCGGTGTCAACCAGTTTACCGGCCTCACCAACGACGAGTTCAGAGCAATCAAGACCAACAAGGGCCTCAGAAGGAATGATGCTAGGGCTCCAACCGGCTTCGAGTACAACAATGTCAGCAATGATGCGCTTCCAGCGGCAGCTGATTGGAGGACCAAGGGCGTTGTCACTCCTATCAAAGACCAAGGCCAGTGTGGTAAGTAAATTTAGGTAGTATGTATATATCGTATTCTCATGATAACTGAAATTACACTAAGTACGTCAATATTTTTGTAGGTTGTTGTTGGGCTTTTTCAGCCGTGGCTGCAACCGAGGGCATTGTGAAGTTGAGCACAGGGAAGCTCGTCTCCTTGAGCAAGAGCTAGTTGACTGTGATGTCCATGGTGTGGATCAGGGGTGCGCGGGGGGCGAGATGCACGACGCTTTCAAGTTCATCATCAAGAACGGTGGCCTCACCACTGAGGCCAACTACCCATACACTGCACAAGATGGACAGTGCAAGACTAGCACTGCAAGCAACAGTGTTGCAACCATCAAGGGCTATGAGGATGTGCCCGCCAACAATGAATCTTCTCTTATGAAAGCCGTGGCTAACCAGCCTGTATCAGTAGCTATGGACGGAGGGGATGTCATATTTCAACACCTCTCTGGCGGGGTGATGACCGGCTCCTGTGGAACTGATTTGGACCATGGGATAGTAGCGATTGGTTATGGCATGACGAGTGACGGAACTAAATTTTGGCTGCTGAAAAACTCATGGGGCACGACATGGGGCGAGAGTGGGTACCTCAGAATGGAGAAGGATATTTACGACAAGAGTGGTATGTGTGGCTTGGCCATGCAACCTTCCTACCCAACCGAGTAGGGAAATACATTGCCACATATATCTACAAATATTACATAAACACACCGATTTTTATCTATATATGTACCTTCCATTGCACTGCGTTATTTTCCGGTTGTAAAGTCGTAAATGTTTGGTAAATATGTATAAAAAAAAGATAAATGACTATGAGCTTAAATTCTCTACGGTGTTGTTTACACGAAAATCCCTCTTGTTAGAATCCATTCACTGATTGGACCCAGATTTGTTATTTAAAAAATGAGAGAGCATCCCTGATCTTTGCATTGATCAATGCACACATCCCGCATATATTAAAGATATGCATTAACTGTATTTCCCTAAAAATAAAAGGACACAATAATAGGCAACAATTTATGGGCAAAGTGGTATTAGTCAACGCGACATGTGGGCATGTCAAACCTAGGTTGGAGCATCCAAGCTGACACACCTAGAATACTTTTGGGACTTTCCGATGCACTTAGTCTCTAGGAAAACATTACACTAATTTAGTACATGTCCATCCATTTTGGACATGTGAGAGTTCACAAAATAATTTTCTGTCCCACTTTATAGATAAACCTTACAAAGCAGATCAAAGAAATCTAGGCTAAAACAAGACAGGCAGCGCTAACACTACACAAGGAATGCACTACTGGACGTCGTTGGCTTGCCGTCGAGCAGAAGTGCAAGAGTAGCAGGACCACAACTAGAAGCTCCAAAAAGTCTACAAGCAAACCCATGTCTCTAGGATGAAATCATCGGACTTTGTCGCAATGCCTCCACAAAAATTGTTGTTGGAGAGGGCCCTCTTCCGAGCGCCAACCCTGTAGGCGAGCTATTTGGACCAAGGTGGCTGATGAAATAGTGTATGTTAGGAGATAAACGAGACGGCCAAACGCTGGAGCCGAGGATGCTTCATCTCGGTCTCGGGATCCAATCCTGCCCAAACACGTCTCCACACCATGAGACCTAAGCTCTCTATTGATGCCCCCAATATGGTAATGACGCAACGAGTTGTCACCAAGTCTAGCAATGGACATGGTTTTCCCTGAGCACGGACAAGGCGATGGAGGCAGAACCATGAAAGCACCCCTCGGACTAACGTGAATCACGCAGGCATCGTCGGTAGTGCCACCGAGAAGCGCCTGGGTTTCACTCGGTACCTCTCTTACTTCTTGCCTGGGAACCCTGGCCCTGACCCTTATGCCTGGACAGCAAGTAATGGATGGCCTAAATGCAAGTTGTTGGCACCGAAAGCATCAACGTATGGGGAAAATATATGGAGCTCTCATGTCTAAAAAGTTAACTTTAAATGTTTCAAAAGATTTGAATTTTCTGTGAATGTTCACAAGACATGTGGATGTGACCTCTAAAATAACAGACCCAAACTTGAAATACACACTGAGAAACAAAAAAGAGAAAATTGATGTAAATATTGCCATTTTTGGAGTTGTCTTTTTGTGACACTATTCATGCTGAATTTGTCTTTTTTGTTCTCAGTGTGCATTTCGAGTTTGAATATGAACTTTTCATAGTTCATGGACTCGTGAATTGGGAACATTAAAAAAATCAAAATATTCAAACATTTGGAGTGACTTTTAGACATGGGAGCACTGGATATCCTCCTCAACTTATGGTGGGAGGACACCGAGTGAACCTAGTTTTCGGGATAACCAAACAGAAGGAAGAGGATCAGCGGAGCACGGAGTAGAATAAGCACGATTAGATGTGCACGTAAGAGTGTGTTGCACATGCAGTATAACTCCCAATTGCCATCTCATGTAAATATACTATGAGAAGTCTCCTTATATATTGGTCCAAATCTTTGTCCATTGACAACATGTGACTAAACTACCACATACTATTCCATTATTGACTTCTCTCCATATCATATATATAGCTAAATAGTTGACCATCACTGTGTCAGCTATGTCAACTCAACAAGCCACAATGCATGAGAAAAGACCACCGTAACATGCATAGTTCCTGCTACTTATATTTGGCAAATATCCTACAACTATGCAACAATCAAATACAGTAAATTTATGTATAATTTTGTTTTACTTATATTATTGATCCAAATACTAATGTTACATACAACAAAACATTCTTGAAATAATTGAACCAATCCCCTCAGCAACGCACAGGGTAGTATTTCTATTTCCTGAAATTTTGATGGACCATGACCCGTTGGAATTCTTACACATCAATCGGCGGGTAAGGTGACCGCCCTAAGGAAAGTTTGAATGGTTTTGTTTCTTTATTATTGCCGTTATCGGTTGAACAAAGCTTGAGCGGTCGTCTTCAATCGGTTGCACCTAGAGTCAAGAGTACTTTGCTTTCACGTGCTGCAGTGCGCACCAAGTATGTGTCCGGGTGAAAAGATTAGGAACTCAATGTTAAAAACAATATCCATAGACCCCAACATAAAGCACAAATTGTCGTAAGTTGTCTATAGCCCTAATAGCTATTTCCCAAACATATTAGAAATACTACAAGGTGGTGGAAGATTGAAAGGCACATAAACTACTCATCACGCAGGTGGGCAACAGGGCATGAGAGAAAACAAGATCTCTTTATTGTTTCTTCTTCGTTGCAACCTGATTTTCTAATGGGTTAATCGGATTCATGCCACTTTGCGGGATTTTCTTTTGTAAGGATCGTCCCCATCATAGGTACCTATAACGATCTTAATCTTAAATGTCACCTTTGAGTTTCTAGATATGTTTCACCCCAATTGACTGTTCGTATTCATCATATTGGCATACATGCATTGACTGAGGAAGACCCAAACGGGTGGAGGCTCCACCTAAACACATCGGGTTCTTGGTTTAGATGATGCGCAAACATTTCACTAATTGAGTCCACCTAAAGCTAACATTTAGCAGTGCAATGATCACGACATCGGCCACTGTTGTGTGCTGTGTTTGGGTGCCGCTATTAACTCTCATCACACCTTTCCTAAAGGGAGAGTCATTAAGTATCATCCTAACTCAAACGGTGCAAGGTTTCCAAATTGTTCTCTCGGTTCTTGTTAATGTGTTCATGTGTTTGTATTCAGTTAATGTTCACTCTGAATGTCAACACCCCGTCAAAACCTACACTAAGTTTATTCTTTGAGGTCGTCTGCCTCCCTGCTTTCTGTGCTCTCAAGTTCTCCTTCACCATTCTTGTGCGCTCACTCGGTCACAAACTCACGGCAGTGGAAAGTGCAACGACCATGCCTTCTCGTGGATGCCATCCAAGAGATCAGCGAGCGGTCATTGCCACTCATTAGAATTTCCGAATGAATTAGCAAGGAGAATACAGAGCTAAAAGGAATAGAACCATTGGCACAATAAAAGAGGTTTACCAAGCATACAACTTGAATGTACAGCGATCAACGTCATCAACAGTAGCTCAACCCCTGTACGCTGATGGCGCAGGTGAAGAACAGGTTGATCACATGATGACTGTTTTCACGGGTTGACACTTACCTTACGCGGAGTACGTACAAATGACAATAACAATAATGAAAAGTATGTATATGGCCTCAACAGCAAACACAGCTCACAGCATTCCCAAAGACAAAAACCCAACAACAATACAGTCACAGCAGAAGAGGGCAACTACAACGATATAGAATCGTAATGCCTGAGTGCCTACCTCGCAAATAACCTTGCCTATTGTGCCTGCTCGGGTACAGGCGCAACATCAGTGGCCTCCTCAGACGGCTTGCCTGGGTCCTCGTTGATCGCCTCATTGACGCCGAGCACTTCATCCATCAGGTCGTCTTCCGCGGCCATGTCGTCCACGTCCACATCATCATCCTCGTCATTGCCACCGTCGGGGATCCGCCGAGCCTTTGGGCCATGCTCCGCCCTGTGCGTGTCAAGCTCCTTGTCCATTTCCTGCATGTTAGCAGGCACGTTCCCCCTCCGAGCATTCCGGGCATTCTGAATCCTTTCCAGCTGCCTCTCAACATTAGACAGATACTGCTCCTCAACTTGCTTTTGGAACTGGGTCAGCTCCGTTCTGCGTACAGATTTCCATTCTTCAAATACCTGCAATGATTGATGGGAGTTAGGTTCGTCTGGATTGACCGATCCAGAAGACAACTGGCGATTTCAAAGAATATAAATAATTTTGTCGTGTAAGATTGAAGGTGGCCCCAGGAAAACATGCAAACAGATGCTGGAAAATAGGACTGTTATGATTTATGTGATGTTCTCAATCCATTTTTTGCATTTGGCAAAAAAAAAATACTTGCAAGTAATAGGTAAGGTCACCATGAGCCACCATGTTCCTTCACCTCGGACATCAAAAGAAATCACAAAGCTGCTCCTGAACAAAGTGAATTCTCACATGTGCAAATGATGAACTGAAGCTTAAACACGCCAGAAAGTTCCCCAGTAAATTTTCGAATTCATGGCATGATGATGAACTACAGCATAATTTTGCAGCAGTGCCGTTATGGGTGACTTCATACTCAATCTTTTTGTGCAATGTAATTAACATTATCAAGAAAATATAATACAAAGGTAAATACCACAACATCGTGTCTGTACTATCAAGACCAGCCACAAGCAAGTTATCATAGTTACCGCGAGTTGCCAGGTTCTTGAGTGAACAGGGAACTCTCACCAATTCAGAAAGGCGTTCGTACTTTTCTCTCCTCTGATAAATATTTCATAACAGAGTATTTTTCGCAACTCATTGATCTGCTTAGTATTCACCACAAAGCATACAGAGGCTGCACTCTAGTGGTTGACTGATAGATAGTCTAAAAGACACGAACAGCACAGCAGCAAAAGACGATGTTGAATCTATTGCTGCCATTTTCATTCCGTGCATAGCTGAGGTGTTTCAACTTCCAAGTACGTTGAATAGATATAAAGGGACAACTATAAAGGCAAATCATCCTTCAAACATGTGCAGATCATGCAGTTTGTTTATTTTTTATTCCTCGGATCATAAAGTTTTTTAGTACTAACTTATAAGAAAATACCTTTTCCTTGTTTTGCTCAACAATAACCGGATCATCAACTATTGGTTTAGCCGGCATGTAATAAATAGCTGGTTCAGCTTTTGTCCTGCAAATACAAATGGAATCAAACAAGAAACAAACATATATAGTATAATGAGTGGATATGGAAACCCCTATAGACATCAAACATCAAGATTTGCGTACAATCAGAAACGCATCTTCCCTCAATTTAATTGTCAATATGGATACTTTTGGACCAGGAATAAAAATAACCTGCAGCATGCACAAAATAAGAACAGACTCGTCAAAAAGCAAGCAGAATCCAACTATGCAAACAAGCAGCACAATGGAAGGAAAAGGGATAGTGATCATTTATCAAAGTCAAAGTGAAAAATGGAAAATGACATAAAGCAGTGAAGTTACCTTAAGAAACTGGACAGCTTTTTGTGATGCTCAGACCACTGAATGTACAATAGCTCCAACCTCTTTTCTTCTGCCTTAGCAGCTACTCGAGCACGGAGCGTCTAAATAAGAGCATCTCAGGTTAAATCATTTGGCATACAAACACAACCAAGTTAAATGAGTGAAATTAAAAAACAGATGCATGTCACAGAAAAGTGAGCGGGAGATTACCATATCACGCCTACGCTTCTCAGCTGCTTGCTCCCGTTCTTGCTGCCGCAATCTTTCACTGTCCTCACGAGCCTTTTGATCAGCCTACATTCAACCGATCATTTCAGTATTTCTTGACATCTTAGAGCTAATATTGAGAATACAAAAAAATGCAATATGATCATCTGCGAGGCATGTAAACTTCCAAGAGAAAACACTAAATTATGTTCCCTCAGAAAAGAAATACTGAACTCCTCAAAGTTGGAAAAGATCATTGATCTCCCTCAGCTCTTAAGTTCAGTTAAGAATAGTTCAAGAATTGCTAGAGTGGCAACTGACACCCATGCTACATATTTTATATCTATTCGGATCTTCTACCCACAGGTCCTTCCCCATGTTTGACAAATAAATGATGCAACCACACATGTAAGATAACCAAATAAGCAAACAGTACACAGGGGAAAAAACATCTGGACACAAGACAAGTAACAATAAACATTTAAGTAAAAAAAAACTTTGAAGTGACTAAGGGTTAATGTCAAGACCTCAAAAACCAACTGCAAGCCACCTGAGTTAATTTCCATTACTGTAATACCAGCCTAGAGGCTTCCATATAGGGCCTGGCCCATAGGCACACCAGGCAATTTTCAATATGAGAACCAAATAAGAGAATAACAATTTATTTAGCTCATAGCACCCTGTGTATTATTTGAGTGGCTAATGATTAACAAAATGTATAAATATAGATAAGTACCTTCTGCTGAGCCTCTGATCTACGCATAAAAGCCTCTGAGTTGGAAAGTTTTTTGTTCTCCTGCTGAAATTTCTGCATTGGCAAGCATGAGGAAGAATCAGATAAACTGAAATATTCACAAAGGTGAACACAATGGATTGTGAAAAAACAGTTGTGTTCCTCTAAATTGGACTGATCACATTCACATAATGAAGCATATTCAACACAATGAGGCATGCATAATACAAGTCAAACTCCCTCGGCACCAAGTTACTCACGGTCTAGACCTCTCTTGGTGTCTGATTTGACTTGAAGAGTTCATTCATAATAGTTAATTATGAAATTGTGTTTCCATTAAATGTATGATAGCTATGCTTGTTAACTTTAGCCAGCAGACAAACTAGTGCTTATTGACCATATAGCTTGCAAACAAAGCATTTGCTATTATTAGTGCAATAGTGACATGACATTAACACTGTGTTTGCAGAAATCAGGTAACATAGCTTCACATCGGGCCTCTAAAAAACTTTACTACACCTATAGGTAAGACATCAAATCCTCAATGACTGCCCTGAAACCTCACCCACAAGTGATCTAGAAGTTTATTCAGCAGATTTCTTTTCTTTATTCAGTAAGGTCACTCGTGATTTTTGTGTATCTGAGAGTAGGTGCAACGAACTTGGTGGTAAAGTTGAAAACTGGGGGTGCAATACAAAAGTTCCTGCAGAGCAAATTGCATATGGCGATTTTCAACAAACACAAAATGACAAGCTTACGATACAGTTTCATTGAAATTGAAGCTGTAGAGTGTGCTGGTAAAGCAATGAAGAAAAAATGTTGGAGTAACTCCTTTTGAAAAACAATGAACAAATTTCACATGTTTAAGGAAAAGCTGTAAGCAGGCAATGTTATTGTAAGTACTGGAAATTCCAAAATATTTTAGAGCAATGAAGTTCAGCATTCTGGAAATATAAACCAGAGTACCAGACAAAGCAAGTATGGGAAATCAATTAAAAGGGTATTGAAGATTTAATGGTGTTCAGTACTAATAACTTGAATACTTTGTATGAATCAAACAGAAATTAGTTATAACTGCACCACCCGTAACACAACACCTATCTGAGGAATGAGGAATTTAATGTTCTCCAAGAGATTTGAATATAAAGGAGTATGGAAATTGGTTATAAACTATGCAGTCAAATAGAGCCATGTCCAACCTAGTAAACAAAACAAGGAATGATCTATTTACCAGACCAGTTAATAAATTGCCAATGGTTATGGGGTAATAGAAATGAGGATTTGATGTTGGAAGACCACAAACTGATTGAGAGAATTGCTAAGTTGATGAAAGAAGCAAGAACCCCTCTGTAGCCAAATTGGCAAAATATTTTCTGCTTGATGCCAAAAGTTGCAGGACAAAAATAAAACCTTGAGGATTCAAAAATTCACTTGCCGTTTGTACTTCAACTAAATTAGTACATTCTTACCGAACGGCAGGTTAATATACCATGTTCGATTACACAATACCCAATCCAAAGCAATCAAGAAATACTGAAACAAGAAGGAATTATCACAATTTCTAAGCACGTGGATCGTCTCATTATACGTCAGATGAACTTGTTACCTCTAGCGTGCCAACAAGAAGCTTCCCCAGCATTCTCTTGTTCCTCCTCACCAAGCTCTGATCCTCTTCCTTGGGAGCCGGCCTCGGGAGAGGCTCTGGCAGCTGATTATCAAGCTCCTGCAACCAAATAATACCAATATAAGCGATCTCCCGAAAACAGCATGTGGAACCCATCCACAAGCACACACGCACACTATCTCCTCCAAAATCCCATTCCCCTTACTCACCCTCCTGGATACCCACTGGCTCCCATCCCTCCTGAACCCACCATTACTGGCTCCCCTCCTCTCACCACCTTGAGCAGCATTTGGTCCATCCTCACGCCCCTCCGCCGCCGCATCATCCCCATTAGTTCCAGGGCCATCCACCTCCGTGCATCACGCCAAACACAGAGAAGACGTTAGGGTATTTGACAAACCAACAAAACACAACAGGATTGACGAACACAAAAATAAAAACGAGGGCTCGTACTTTAACCACGGCAGAAAGAAGCCGGCGCTTGGGCTCGGGCTGGTCCACCGGCTCCGGGGCCTGCATCAGAAACACGCGGGGAGAAAAATCACGCACAGAAACAGAGACAGGGACGAGAAGGAGACGCGAAGCGAGAGGCGCGCACGGGTCTGGCGAAGCCGCGGAGCGGGCGGGGGCCTCCGGGGCCGGGGCCGGGGCCGGTGGCGGGGGCGCCGCGTCGGAGGCCTCGGGGGTCGCGCAGGCGCTCGCTGATCTGCGGG